AATTTTGTTCGTATCTGAAAAGAATCTTAAAATACGAAAACATTGGTGAATGCCACAAATTCTCCTAAATCACTCGTACRCACAACTTAAGAACAAATCTGTGCGTACGAACGGTTCTTGCATGAGGCCCATTGACTCTCAGTTTTGGGTAACCTTACATTTTTTAAACCTCTGACAGTTCAGAACTTATACCCTTTCAAGTTGTTTATTGGACTTGAGATGCTTGACTATAAAATAAAATAAACTGTAAAAATTAGTATCGTTTAAAACTTTGGACCAGTAATCTATGTMTATAGGTGATTAGGTTAATATCTAAGATATTAAGCTAAAATTTAGCTGAGCATTATTCTCTGCACATACTTTGAGAACTACGCATTTTTGGCTTTAAACATTCAGATAGTAATCATTGAATGTGTATTTATAAACCCTGGGAGTCAACCTACTTCAATATGGCTGCCATGAACTATTTCACAAATACAGCCATCTTTGCCTAGTGCAAAGCATCATGGTCCAGTTTGRGGGCATCTGGTGCCAGTGCCCATGTAAGAACTGAATGACAGTGAAGTGTTGCAGATATTACTGTGATACATGAAAATAAGTTAGAATATATAGACTAATGAAAATATAAGAAGATTGTTGCTGCTTGGTCTAGTAATGTATTATAACACTAAATATGTTGATGTGGTTTACAGTGATCTTGGACGTGTATCATATTTGCCATTTACAGATCATTTTGACCACTTTTTCATGCAATTTTTTCATTATTTAACCAGGCGAATCCCACTGAGATCACAGGTCTCTTTTTCAAGGGAGCCTCCCTTGAAAAGGTTTACAAGTGTACAAGTTGAAAATACTTTTGGGCATACACTTACTATATAGATAGGTGGAGTATCTTAAAACTTGATCACAAATTTATAATGGTGTACAGTTTATTTATTAACAACAATGAAAACCATGCAGGGAGCTACAGACCGCACTAACAAATGCACCACCATTAAAACAAAAACACAAACATTGAATTAATGTTTATGCTTAATTGGATGTGTGGCCAAAAAGGTTGTTTTTTACTCCGCATTTACTCATAGGTCAGCCTGCCTCAAGATTATATGTAGATTATATGTTTATCACTCAGTCCCACTGATCATAATTAGGATCACTGTACACTGGGATTTTCTCTGGCAATAGATTTTATTTTGTTAGCTTCTATAGTTTACATTTTATTTATAGTGAAATTATTGCACAACCWTACCTCTATGTTGCATCTTCAGATTGCTATTTTAGGCACTAATCCTAACATTTGAGCAGTGTAAAAGTTCATGGCAAGTGTGTCCTTTTTCTGATTATAAGTTAGTACATGGCCAACCAAAAGAAACTCTTAAGATGCACAACAACACAATCTTYACAGTTGGAGAACCTGTCTCGTCATTGGCTTTTCTTTCAGTTGCCCTCAAACAATGGAGCTCTGTGTGTTTCTAAMCTGCTGTTTAATTGACTTTTATAGACAAACACACTTTTTTAATGTTACGTTGCATTAGTAAAATGTCCTCARTGTGTAATGCTTCCTGGTGTAGGAATGACTGCAGAGTACAGTTGAAACGTAAGAAGATATGAACACTGTTAAGTATGTGAGACCCAACACATCGAAACRAGGATTAAGTCCAAAAGTGGTGTAAGGAGAAACAGGCAAATATAGTGTTTTGACTAAAATGTTAACAAAAATTGCATTTTGTCAAAATTTAATGAATTTATGTCTTATCAATGTATCATTTGAATGAACTGCCTGAAATATAATCATAAAACAAAATTTTGAAGCAATTTTTTTTAGCAGTAGCAACAAATA